AAATTAAAATATATATATATATATATATATAATATGCAGATGGGACACCAGTGTCCCATCTGCATCAAAGGGTTACAAGAGTAACTTATATCATCTGACTTTTTTGAGTTATTATAACCTTTATTTATAAATAGTTTTTTATCTATAAAATACAAGTAGCTAGTATAAATCATTACTCTAGTGAAGAAAAAAAACTTTGTGCAGCAGCTTTAACTGTTAACTTTACTTAATTATTACAACTTCAAGATATTTATCAGCACTATGCCAAATTTTACTAATTTACTATCTATTACCAAAGGCAATTTAGGACAGCTATTAAAAGCCAATGAGTAAAATATTTTTCCCCACCCCTTTCTAGTCTTTAGATCCTTCGTATTGATGAAAGATGAAATGAACCATCTTTAGTTCAAAAAATAAAAATTTTGAATTAGAAAAGTAGTTTTTTCCCATTGATTTTATTTGTTATAGATACATTAATATTCTTTTATAGAGATATGAGATTCTTTCTCAGAACCACAATTTTATTATTTGCTCTTTTTTAATTAGTAATTTCATCATTTTTTGATGTTATTCTATAACTTTTTGTTGTATTTCTGAGGATGTTCAAAAATGACCATACTGCAAAAAATATTTTATTATGGATTCTTAAAAATCTGCAAAAACTAATCAAATTCAACCTTAAATCTGTAGTGTCTAGTTTTTATCACAAAAGTCTGAAACTTTAAATTATTGGGGAATCATTGACTTTTCAATTTTTTTTTAAAATTTATGTTTTGTGTCAACTAAACTGAGTTTCTGTAAATAGTTGGATGCTTATTAGTTAACTGGACAAAAATAAAACTTTAAAAATAATATTTATATTAATATTTTTTATGAAATATTAGAAACTTAATTAAAATCTTATATTACTAGCATTCTATTCAAAGAAAATTTGAGCATTTTTCAAATAATATATTTTTTGACTTTTTTTTCCTATATCTATTAGTAATAAATCTTTCCTCTTCTAAAAAGTTTTAAAAAATTTGCTGTAAATTATTATTATTATTATATAATATTTAGTTTCATACTTTCCACCTTATAAAGCAAAATATCATTTGAACAAAAATATCATCAACAAATAAGAAGTTTATTGATGCAAATAAAAAAAATTCTTTTCAATTTTTATATCCTTTTTCTTATCTAATCTTTTTTCCTTTTTCACAGTCTCGTGTTTGTTTTTATGAATAAATTATTTAAATTCTATTGTTCAAAACAAAATATTCCCAATTTTTTTCATATAAAAATCTAACAACCTAAGCTAAAATTTAGTTACTTATGACACATGATATTTTATTATGATATAATTATGTATATCATACCTAAGAATGTACTTATACCAAGAATGTACTCATATATAATTAAGTATTATTATTTTTTATTTTAGGAACTGTTAAAAATGATGGGAATGACAGACTTTGTTTATTGGATCAGTACATTCATGAATTATTTTGTGATAGCTTTCATCACAACTTTAATTATAACTATAGTTTACAAAGTACCTTTGAAAAATGCAACTGTATTTATGAAACATACAGAGTTTTGTCTTTTATTTCTGATGCTTCTGTTGTTTATGGCAAGTTTAATTCTGTTCTGCATGGCTTTCAGTATTTTTTTCAACAAGGGTAAGAAAAATTGAATACAATAAATTGAAACATTGATAAGAATGATATTTTTTTTTCTTTCCTGATGCAAGTTATAAATTTGTCTTATCATTTCTTTCAGCGGTATTTGCCATTATTACCTTGATAATTTTTTACATTGTTACTTTTGTAATGTACATGGTTTCTTACTTCATTGAATCATTGGATGTCAAATATTTTCCATTACCTCTCATGGAAAAGTTAGGAATTTGTACTATGCCAACTGGTGGTATACTGACGATGTTTGCTTTTGTTTCATTCTATGAAGAAAGTGGTATGTAGGGCTTTATTACATTTGTGTTAATGTTTTTTTTTGCTTTTAACAACATTTAATTGCTATAATTTGGTCATAAACACATTGTAGTTTTGTTTATCAAAAAAAGAAAAAATTCCTATGTATGTTGTTTCTATTTGTTGGAACTTCATAAAATTTTATACTTTAAAGTTCCAATTTTCCTACCCTTATATATAAAGTTATTCTGAAATCTATAGAAAAGTGCCTTATTTAAAAACGTATGGTTAAAGTAATGAAAATAACTTAATTTTTTTTCTATTTAATCCTCTAAGTGTTTAGTTTCTGTATAAAATTATACTAAAATTTTCCTTTGAATAATATGGAGAAACCAGTTTTTCGATGCTGGAAATTTTGGAAAAGTCGTGAATACCACTTCAGAGGGTTAAATATAGTAGTTAACCATTTAATATATTATGTAGTCTTCTTCTTCCTTATCCCCAAAGTTTGCAGAGCTAAACATTATCCATGAAACTCATGACCCGGAGGAAGTCGACCACCAAAAGTGGGTTATTCAGAATGTCCCCTTTGTTCAGACCAAGACAGTCCAGGATAGGTTGGGGAGAAGCCTGCATGTTGTGGCACCTGGGGCAGTTTGGGTAGGTTTTAACACTGCCCTCGAAAGAAAGGGACTTAAGGTATCCGCTGATAAGCCTGGTAAGTGCCATCTGTTTCTTCCGATTGCACCGAATGTTGAGTGCACCTCCTGGACGGGTGCTCTGGTACCAGTGATGTTTGGGGGGTACGAGCCAGGAAACATTGACTTCTTTTTTCTTTTTTGATGCCAGTTCCATGAAGGTGAGTGAACTTGGACTCATCAAAGCTTCTTCTGTCCCCTCCTTACCCAGCGTGTCGGCGATGTCATTGCCCAGTACCCCAACGTGAGAAGGGATCCATTGGAGGTGGACTTCACGCAATCGTGAGAGGATTTTAAGTTTGTGCAGGATTGAAGCTCCTGTTTTGTCTCTCACCTTCCTCCAATGCGATAAGTACTGTATGGAACTGAGACTGTCAGAGAGTATCCAGATGTTATTGTGATCCTGTAGTGTTAGAAGAGAATCCAGAGCAGTATCAATAGCAATGAGTTCACTTCTAAAAACTGAGCAGTAATCAGGATTCCTTTTGGAGATGTTAAGGGAGTAATTACTTGATTTAATGTAGACACCGCTGCCAGATGATGATGTGTCCGTCTTGCTTCCGTCTGTGTACACCAGTATTGAGTGTTTGGGGATGGAATTTATAACCTCCAAAGCAAGTTGCTTAAGCAATACCGGGTGATCCAATTTCTTGTTAACTTGTGATGAAAGGTGTTGATGGAAATAAACACCAGGAAGTCCTTCAGATGGGTCAATAATTTGTTTATTAAGGCAATCCTCAACATTACCAGCAAGAACGTTAACTACGGCCTGGCTAAATGATTCTTCTGAGACATAGGGGCTGTAGGTCGGCCTCAAACAAGACGATGTCATTTGGGCAACTGTTTCTTAGTCCAGTAATAATGCGGACTGCAGAAAGCTGGACTCGTTCAAGACGTTGTAGGTTTGAAGCAGATGCACAACTATAAACTGGTGCTCCATATTCCAGGATTGGTCTGATGAGAGCAAGATATGTGGCTCTTAAGGTGGTAGCGTCAGCACCCCAATCTCGCCCAGCAATGTACTTTAAGATTTTAAGTCTCTTCCTACTTTTCAACACTAAGTTGTTTTTATGCTTATTGTTGGTGAGTTCAGGATCTAAAATGAAGCCCAAGTAACTGGGGTGTTTATCAACAAGTAGAGTTTGGCCATTCAGGATGATATTGGGTTGAAATTTGTAGAGTCGTTTGTTGGATATGTAGTTAATGCTTACTTTTACATCTATTCGGACCTTATTCAGAAATGTAAGTTTCTATAAATTCAATCTAGATTTTCTATTTAAGTATACTAATATAGTTAACCCACAGTCTACTATATTGGTATATTTATTACGACACAGGAATTTTGTCCTTGTACCACATCAAAAAAACCTATCTGTTTTTTATAAACTACAGATACATTTTTTAATGGCTATGGGTAAACAATGAACACATCAAGATAAAAAATTTACAAAATTACATTTTCGTATGAATTATAAAACAGAAAATAATTTTGTTTTTGTCAGATCAAATATTAAAAACATAGGATGTGTCTTCTTCTTCTATCAGCCTGACAGCCTAGTACAGGCCAAACCCATGCCAACTAATTATCTCCATCCGGCTCAATCAGACACTATGTTTTCCATTTTTTAATTCCCATGGTTTTAAGATCTTTTTCCCCAGAATACTAAAGAATTTTCAATGGTGATAAGAGTTTCTTACATAAGTGATGTTCCTTAAAAAAGTGATGATTATAATTTTTCATATACTGCTGTATTGGAGATTTGAGTACACAGTTTGATAATTATAACTAATTAGACTTAGTCATTTTCTGAAATGTGTCTTATTAAATTGTTTAATATCTAAAGAGATTTTTTCACACTGCTTTTTGCATTTTTAAAATTATTACTAAATTTATCCTGAATTACTTTATTTTACTTAAAGTTAAATATAATTTCAATCTGAAATTTCTTTTCAATAAATTATTTTATTTACAGGGGAAGGTCTTCAATGGTACAATTTATCAGAACGTGCTGTTAGTCCTGACTTGAATATGGTCATGGTTTTATTTTCAGTGATATTTTCTTGTTTCCTTTACGCTGTTATGATTTGGTATTTTGATGCTGTTTGGCCATGGCAACCTGGTGTCCCAAAACCCTTCTACTTTTTATTCATGGTACTATTTTACATCTCCTAGACTATTTTACATATCTTTGGAGTTTGAAATCCAGAAATCAAAACAAAGTTTTTGTTTTAGAAAAGCTATTGGTGTCCCCCCAAAGCAAAAGAAAATGATGAAGTTGAATTAGTACAGACAGATCCTAGCTCGGAATTTTTTGAAGAGGAACCAAACGGTATTTCTCCTGGAGTGGTTATATATAATTTATCAAAAGTAAGTATGAATTATATAATTATATTATATCTTGCAATTAGAAAATATAAAATTTAAATAAATATACTGGAAATCTAATCAGAGGTAATATCATTAATATTTATATAAAATTTCTATAGTAATAAAAGTAGATGTGCCTATTTTTGACTAATTTGTCCAAAAATATTTGTTTTTACTAGTTAATCTTTAATGTTTTGCTTAAGACTTTTAATTTTTTGATATTTGCTTTGTGTTTTAGTAAAAAGTTGAGAGTTATTCCGTAAATAAAATAAACATTTTAACAATTACATCAAAAGAGGGGAAACAGAAATTGATTTTTTTTTAAAAACTGTTCTCTTTAATGACAGCTTGTTAATTTTTTAAAAAAAATTTCTGTATCATGCATTAATTTTAAGATATTTAATAAATATGCTGAGATTAGATAAATTCTCCTAATTATAGATAATAAAATGTCTTCATAATAATAATAAGTACATAAAATAAGTACAGTGGAGCATCGTTTATATGACGCCCAAGGGACCACCGAAAAACGTCGTATAAACGATAACGTCGTATAATCGATTTTTACTTCTAAAACTTAAACTAACTCTGTTTTCAGTTAATTTTAATGTTTAACCTGTTGATTTACCTAAATTTCTAAATTAGACAAAGCAAAACAAACAAATAACCAAAGAAGAAAAATTGCAGTGAGCAATTTGAATGTATGTTACCTTTAATTATATTTTCTTGCTATTAGTCTCCACAATACTTTGAATAGTGAGTTGAACTTACTGCTTTCTATGATGCAATTTTAGATTTCTAATCACGGCCAAATCTAATGGCTGAAGCTCGCTTGTGCAATTTTCAGGGAAAAAGAGAGCTTTTACATTTTCCAAAATAATTAGTATCGATGGGTGCGCTGGACATTGGTCGATGAATATCAAAATTTTTCGTTATTGCCTCTTCATAACATTGCCTAGTTTTTTCAGTCATCTAGTAAGAATTACGGTCGTCATCCAAGCATTCTTGTTGGCACCCTTTTCTGTATCATTCATGTTGGCAAATTCCGCCCTTTTTTAAAATACACAAGAAAAAATAAAAAATTAAATAAGCGTGAACAAAATCTAAAAACCGACGTATAACCGATTCTGTGCGTCGTATAAACGATATATTTTTACATTAAAATGAATAGGAATGATTTGGGACAACACTAAAACGTCGTATAAATGTAAACGTCGTATAAGTGATTGTCGTATAAACGATGCTCCACTGTACGTATATATACATAAAATAAGTACATATATTAATTGCATTATAATGTATTGCCTTTGTCTTATACATTCTTTTACCATGGAAAAATTGTTTGCAGGATTAATCTTTTGAAAAAGTAACATGCACCTTCTCTATTGTAATGAAATATTTTTTGTTTTATAAAATACGTAAGGGATTGTTTTTCAAAATTGAATTCATATTTTTTGCAAAATTTTTTTGTGTGTAACAAATATGAATTTAGTTTTTAATTCGATTGTTTGTATGCTGTAAATGAATTAAAAATTACTCAATTATAAATCAAAGAAAAAAAAAGTTTTCAGGAACACTGAATTTCATTCAGTTGTGCTCTCCCCTCCCTATACAATATATTCTAACTTGCTATTTTGATATTAATTTTAGGAGTTTCGAACTGGTCTTCAAACAAAACTGGCTGTAAATAATCTATCTTTGACTATGTATCAAGGGCAGATTACTGCTCTTCTTGGTCATAATGGTGCTGGAAAAACAACTACTATAAATATTCTTACAGGTAAGCGATTGCTTTAGGAAAAAAATGTTTTGCTGTATGTATACTGAGATTTAAAATCATGTTCAATCTTTTACTGTTAGACAATCTTTAAATAAAACCCATTCAAAGTTCAGGGGATTTGAACTTTTTTTATTAGTTCATTTTATGATGGTGATAAAATATAATGCTTGTGATAAAATTTAAATAAATATTAACATTAAATCTTTCAAAAATTCGGATATAAATATTGGTTTGATAAAGTTGTGCTGGTTTATTCTTTATAAAAGTAATGCTTTAACAATATCTCCTTCTTACAATATTTTTAAATTATTAAAATTTGTATCAATTAATGTAATTTTTATATGCTTGTGATATAGAGACTTTTGCAGTTTTTAGTTTCTGGAATGTTTCTCTTTTATTAATTGTTTTTTTTTAATTTGTTATAATTTAAATTGATTAAAATTATAAACTATTTTATAGGTCTATTTACACCAACCAAAGGAACAGCTTCCATTAATGGAATGGATATTTTGACAGAAACTAATAATGCTCGTAAAGGACTTGGTGTATGTCCACAACACAATGTTTTATTTGATACACTTACAGTTGAAGAACATCTCAAGTTTTATGCTGCTGTAAGTGTCTCTTTTAATCCTGTTTTAAATTCTGTGATAAAATTATCTACTACTATTCTCTATTTAAAAATGTTACATAACAAGAATTCTGTTTTGTAATTTTTATTGAATTAACTTTTTTTTAGCATCTGTATTTATTCCCATTGATATCCAGTCCAGTTTATGATTAGAAGCTATAACAAAACTTTGATTACTTAACATTTTATACATTCGAAGACAATTCATTGTTATCTTTTCTTATATAACCAAATGTCAGGTTGTTTGTTGCATTGCTGTTCATTTTAGAATTTAATGAAGATAGTTTTTCAGTGAAGTTTTGTTACTACAGTACAGAACCTCTTATCCGGAAATCAGAAAACCAGAACAAAATTCGATAAATTTCCCCACCATTTTTTTTTTTCCTCATAAGAGTTTAGGATTTTTCTTTCTTTTTTAAAAGATGTTTACTTTACCATCATTTTAGAAATAATCATTAGTTCCCTACACTGTCAAGAGTCTTGTACTAAATATCATCAATCATTCTCTTCCTCATCCCCTATGTAGATGTTCCTTTTCAATCATAGTTCAGTGAGAAGGAGTGACTCATTGAACAGCTGTTTTCTTATCATCTGGCCCTTAAGCAGGGGGAGTCATTACTACCAAGGAGTCATCATGTCTGTTGATTGCTAAGTCCAGGAGAGTTAAAAACTAATAATTTTATTTGTCTTCTTTGATTCTTAGAAATCTCTTAAAGTACTCCCTACAGGGACTGCAAAACTCCTATTTTTCCTATTATCTCTGTACCCCATCTTTCCCCCCCTGTTATTTTCTACTTTTTCTTATTTTTTCAAAAAAATCTGTCATTTCTGCTATTCCCCCTTTGACAGCAAAGAAAGGGGAGTAATGACTCAAGGTCAAGTATTGCAACTGCACCTGTTTTCAATTCATTCATTTTGATAGGGGTGTGAGGAAGGGGCAGAACATGGTAGAACATAAATTCTTATAATTGTCAGCTTCTGTGTGAGCTTGCCAATTTATGTTTAACTGGTGTGGAGGAGAAATAAAATCGCTCAGCTTAATGAGGAATAAGATTGTGATACACATGTTTTTCCTTCTGATTTCGTTTAATGTTTTAGCAAAATGTTGAAACCCAAGTGAAACTCTTCTAGATAGTAATCGCTTGCCAGAATCACAGTGATATTGTAGCAGAACGTTAGAGAGTTTTTTGCAGAATGATTTTTCCTTTGGGAAGTAAAAAATTTTTAATTTCTTTTCTGCAGAAATTTTCCAAAGATTTTTTTTCCTTCCAGAATTATATTCAAAGGATGTATTTCTAGCACATGGGAGGAGGGAAAAGAAATGTTTGAGAACAATGAAGTAAAAAAATTTGTTTTTCTTTTATCCAGAAATTTTTGAAAGACTCTTTTTTTTTCTCCCATCCAGAATTATATTCAAATGATGTCTTGATGTCTTTCTCATGCATAGGAGGGGAAGGAAATGCTTGTGATTTTTCTCTTCTGATTTAAGAAGAATAAAAAATATGGGATAAAAAAAAATTTGTGTTTTTCTTTTCTCCAGAAATTTTCTTTTTTTTTTTTCCATTCAGAATTATATTTGAATGATGTCTTTTTCGCTCAGAGGAGGGAAAAGAAATGCTCCTGATTTTTTAATTTTCATTTGTTAATAATGAAGTAAAAAATGGAATGGATGGTTTTGAGGCCTGACGCAGACAATGACGAAGTAGAAGAAAGCGATGAGGAAGATGGAGCCCACCCCCCCTTTTTTTCAACTTACCTTTTTTGTTCATTTTACATTAGGCCGGTATATATTTTTATTTCATTATTTTTTTTCCCTTTTTATCTTATTAAGCTTATGTGATTTACTTTATCGTTTTTTCTTCTTTTTAAGATTTTTTCTAAATAAATAATTTTTTAGGTGGGATTGACAATAAAAAAAACTGCTTTTTGAAGCGATTCAGAAAACCGGAGAAATCAGTTATCCAGAATAGTGATGGTCCCGATCGTTCCGAATAATCGGTTCCCTACTGTATTCTCATATGTTGATGAAATGTGCTGATATTTTATTGAAGTTGACTTATAATGGCATTTATACACTTGAAATATCCTTCTCCGTGAAACTATTAAAGAAGGAAAAGGCGTATTGCAAATTATGACATTCTTTAAGATCCTTAATAATTCTTGGGGATTTAAATTTAATTAAATTATTTTTTATCACCATATAATATTAAAGCAGTCACTAGTCCTCAGACATGCAGTGCAATGGGAAAGAACAAGTTTTTGTTTTGTTGTTTGAAGTGGATGTAAAACTTAGTATCTACTGTGTATTGTAAAATTTGATTTATTTCTTATTTTCGGTATCTTTGCTTTAATTATGAACATTTAAGATGACTTTACTATATTACTATTATGATTAATGACTATGATTTTGCTGGTAAAACACAGGTGAATAAAAGGTAGCAGAGATAAGTATTGCTTACCCATGTTCACTTGTGCTGTCTTCACTTTATCTTCTTTATGACTTTATAACAGATTTTACTATTTTAATATCAATAATATTTAAATAGATTCTTGTGATAGTTCATTAAACTATATTAAATCAATTTTGATTTATTAATTTGTTTTTGAAAATTCAATTGATTCTAGAATCCTAATATTTCAGCTAAAATTTCATATGCTTGTATTTCAGATTAAAGGAACTGATTGGACTAAATTGACAACTGAAGCTGAGAAAGTAATGGAAATGTTAAAAATCTGTGATAAAAGAAATGAATTGGCTCAAAATTTATCTGGTGGTATGAAACGGAAATTGAGTCTTGGAAATGCTATTGTTGGAGGTTCAAAGGTTCTGTGATTTTTTTTTGTCTGCTAAAAAGTATTGCATTGTAATGTATCTAGTGATAATACATTTGAACTTTTAACTAAAAGTATTAGAATGAAATCCATAGAAGCAAATCCCTTTAGTCAGTAAACATACTCTTCTAGAGTTCTTAAAATGAAAATGTGTTGCATCTAAAGTTATTTGAACTAAGAATTCTATTTAATAGCAGATAAAAGTTTTCTTTTTTCTTATATTCAACTATATGAAAAGAAAATTTGTTTCACACTAAATAAAATGGCAAATATTGTAGTTACAACATTATTTTATTAAAAGTTTTAAGAAATACTTTTTCTGACTAAGTTTTGCAAAAAGTCATTTTTTTTCAATAACAATAAGAACTATAAATTAATAAGAATTAATGTAAAAATTTAAAAATTGTCTTTGTTGACAAATTCCAAAGAGTTAAGCTAATTAATTGTTGTTTGTGTCAATTTAGCAAAAAATGTTATTATACCAGAAATCTTTAATGTTTTTGAAAGCTGAAGTAAAAAGTTTTGTGTAAAATAAAAAATTTGGGGGCATTTATGGATAATTTATTTATTTGTAAAAAAAATGTTATCATTCTGACGCTTTTATAAAATTTTTAGGTTTTATTTTTGGATGAACCAACTTCAGGCATGGATGTTGAGGCTAGACGTGGTGTCTGGGATGCTCTTCTTGACATAAGATATGATCGCACAATCATTCTTACCACTCACTATATGGAAGAAGCAGACATTTTAGGTGACCGTATCGCTATTATGGCCGAAGGAGAAGTCCAATGCTGTGGGTCACCTATGTTCTTAAAAAGAAAATTTGGTAAGAAATTTCAATGATGTGGTTGCTGCTTGAATTGTTCCAACACACTCTAGCTGATCCAACACTTATTTTCGATTAAAGCTTCGAAATTTTTTAAAAATACTGTGATTTAACCAATAAATATGTTCCAAACTATTGCCAGACCAATAAGTTTTTCCAAGTCTGCTGCAAAAACAGACATTTTTCATAAAATTTTCTTAGTGTTTTTTCGTAAAAGTGAGATAATAGTAAACTTATTTACATCCGTACCATTGTTGAAGTTTTTTTTATGGCAGTGCATATATTTTATTATAACTTCAAAAGCAGATTAAAATTATTGCGCTATGTTATGGCTAGAAAAGTACAATAAAAAGTGCTTCAAAACTATTCCAGAAATTACTCTTTAGCACCAAATCTTATTATTAAGCAGTAATTATGTAACTTCCATTCTTCAAGTTGCATCAAATTAATGAATGGCATAATTTATTTTTTTGGCAGAAATTTTATTTTGCCCACTTTAATTTCGGACAATTTTGGAATTTTTTTCTATTGCTATTTTGATAAATAAACCTATGTGTAAAATTGCTGCTATTAAGTCATTTACGCATATCAAAATGCATTTAAATTATAATAATTATAATCAAAACGCATCTAAATTATAATAGCAGGTACTCGATGGTTGTTAAATTTTTAGTAAAACTGTAAGGAAAACTAAATATTTATTTTAAGTATTACAGTACATAATCGAAAGAAATTTATTAACACATATTGTTAAAATAAAATTGCTGATACCTCATGCATAAGTCATATTTTTCTGACAAAATAATATAGTAGTAGTAGCAGTTGGTGGACCTATGATGAATATAATGTTTGCATCGAGTTTAAAACTCTTTTATAAAATGACTGTTATAATTCAGAAATTAGTGATTAGTTTACTGTATTTATGAGTGTGTAAAATATTGTATTATATATTTTAGGAACTGGCTATCATTTGCATGTTGTGAAAGGCGAAACATTTAATTCTGCTGATACGCTTGAACTTCTCAGAAAACACATCCCTGCTGTTATTTTAGAAAAAGAATTGGAAAATGAAATAACTTACAATCTTGCTTCAGATTCTGGTCAACGCTTTGGCGACATGTTTGAAGAATTAGAAAACAATAAAGGAAAATTAGGGATTGACTCTTGTGGGGTCACAGTTACAACTATGGAGGATGTATTTTTAAAGTGAGTATGTTATATTTGTGTGAGTTAGTATATTTGAGTTGTAATTTTTAAACTTCTTTCTGATTGCTTCCTTCTTACTTTAATTTTAAGTGTTAATTAAATTCAATTTCTTTTTCTTGGAAAAGAAATCTGTAATTTTGAATATTTCTTACTTAATTTTAACTTGTATTTGTAATTTTCCAAGATAATTTTTCTAAATGAGAGTCTTGATGAATTTCCAATTTTCTTTTCAGTGTTTCAAATATATCTGACCTTAAATATAAATTAGCAAAAGATAAATATGGAACAAATGGAGAAAGCTTGGAATTAGAAGGTAAGCCTGATTTATCTCTATAAATAAAATAAAAAAGTTTAGATTTATCTTCCTTATACAAATCTTCAAGGATCAACTGATCCATGTAAAGTTGTACATTTATTAAAAAAATACCTGGTGTAAATGTCTTCTTAAAACCTCCCTACAACTACTGCTTTTTGTGCTGTACTTTAAAGAAAGTTTCCCATGAAATTAAGGAAATGTTTTTAATATTAATGAATACAAGCTTATAACTTTATTTAATCAAAAATGAGTTTCAGGGGGAATTTATAGCTCATATTTATTAATTTATCTATGATGGCTCATGTTTGGTTAGCATAAGTTAAATCAACAAGGATAATTTAACCATATATCACGAGTCATATCATTGAATTTATATTTTGAAAAATATATGAAACAAACCATCTGTTTCTTTTGTTGATACTTACTCTTGAAAACACTGTTTCTGTATAGTTTCTAGTGTTTCAATAATAATGTTTTTGTAAATAGTAAATCTTGACTTTCTGGAGTTGAATGATACAGTAGTAGTTAACTCTTTCGGTAAATTGAGTTTCTGAAACTTATTTTTTTTAGAAAATCTTTACTATGTAAAACCTTCTAGGTGTGAAAAAAAAACAAACAAACAAGTAATGTACATAGTGCCAATTCAGTAAGGTAATTTGTACAGAGGCAAAATATAAAGATTTGTGGTACAGTGATATTATAGATAACCGAAAATGATTAAAAAAATATTAGGGCCATTGAAATAATTATTTTACAATTAGGATTATAATAAACTCTTAACTTGTACAAATTAGTTCAGGGAATTAAAAAAAATATTAATTACAATACCAATTCAAATAAGTGCAGGTTCAGCAAGAAAATTTAGTCATGGTTAAAAAGAAATATCTCTTACAGTCTGTTTGCTAGAAATGATTATTAGTAAGGCTCATATTTGATAAGATTTGCTTTTTTTTGTATTTTTGGACTGTTTTGTTTGAAGCTATCTTTTAGATTTTTTGGGCACTTATTGAGTTTTTAAGATATTTTTTCATTATATAGTATTTTTTAAGGTTGTAGAATTTTTTTTTAATATTAGGTATTTTTCAGAAGTTTGTTTCTGAGTTTGTTGAAAAATGTTTTGCAAAGAAGCACTTATTTTATTTTGTAAATTGTGCCACAGCTAAAAAACAATTTACTGTTCTCCAGCATATTAGAAGGAATAAACATATAAGAGTAGCCTATCCTGCTGAAACAAAGAAGTAAACTTACAAATTTTCGATAGAGCAATGTAGATTATTCACATAATCAAGAAATTCTCCCTTTTGCATAGAATGTGAGGATTTTGTTTAGTCAAATATTTAAATAAAAAAGCTTAATAATTCTAAATTATACCCGCTTTTATAAAGGCAGACTGGTCATGTTATACCCGACGAATTCACATTGGGAAAGCAAAATTTTTTTTTTGTCTATTTGACTAAAACAATTGCCTATTATTTTTTTTACATTTAAAATTAATTTCAAACTTAAATCTGTTGTGCATGTTTTAATGCAATTATATGTTATGTGAAATTTTAGGAATAAATAGTGTTTTAGATTGCATTTCTAGTTTAATTACAAGGAAATCTCTTCAAGGCATTTTTTATGTTTTTAAGGGCATTTTTTAATTACTCTTTGAGCATTTTTAGAGATTTGTCATGTCTTCAAAATCTCATCAAAACATTGTAGTATGTATGAAATGGTGAAAAAGACTCATAAAGCATACAAAGATAATTGAAAGAAAGCAACTAATGATTCAGAATTTCATACTGCTTTCTACAAATGCTTTATTTAAAAAGGAAGAGAAGGAGTACCCTTCAGATGTGCAATCAAATTTAAAAAAAAAAATATCGTTATACCTATTTGACAATATGATATTTAAGAGGTGGGAGGGGGTAGTGTAAAAATTAAATACTTAAAATCACTTTTATGTGAAAAAAACAACAATACAGTTTTCAAAGTTTATTGGTGAAAATGAGTTAAAAAATGTCACCTCAATAATCAGAATTTTTTGATTATGAGACATGGCTTTTTTTGATAGTCAATGTGCAATGTAGCATTAACTATTTATATTTAATTGAATAATATTTATAATTCGTTAATATATAATTTATAATTTTATAGTGGTTTTATTTATGTTTTCTTTTATTTCTAGAAATATATGGGGATTCTAGTGAAACAAAGGAACAACAAATATGGAATCAGCTTATTGGACTTCTCATAAAACGATTTCACTACTCTAAACGTCATTGGGGCAACCTAATTGCTCAACTTGTAGTACCTTTCTTAATACTATGTCTCTGTCTTTATGAGATTCAAGAGGCAGGACATAACTCTAAAATTTCTTATACACCTATAAAATTAGATTTAAAGCATGTTTATGGAAAAACAGATAGTTTTTATTATTCAAAACAATCAGAAGATAATTTAGTTAAACAGTTTACTAATACTTTGTCAGAAAAAGGTGTTAGTGTTGTTAAAGTTGATGATCCAACAAAGTACATCCTAAAATATGGTGAAAATGATCTTTCCAAATATTTAAAAAATTTGTTGGTAGGGGGAGCCATAGATGTATATGCAAATGGAACAAATAATTTGACCGCTTGGTTTAATGGAGAACCATACCACACTTTACCTATGTCACTTCTTTTGATGCATACGGCTGTTTTGAGATCTATTGTGTCTGACAAAGCAACAATTACATTGACTAATGACCCATTGCCAGAGCTCTATCTTAATATTTACAATGATGAATTTAATATGAAAGAGAGAATAATTGCAATGGTTTATATGCCTTTATGTTTGGCATTCTTGTCTGCAAGTTTTGTATTGGTTCCTCTCCATGAACGTATCACAAAAGCAAAATTGCTACAACTCATGACAGGATTGAATGCTTCTCTTTATTGGATTGCAACGTTTCTATGGGATTTTTTAGTTTATTTTGCCGTGTCTCTTTTGCTCTTGATTCCACTTGCAATATTTAGTCATCATGTGTTTTTTGGATTGCACTCTGAAGCATCCGGTGAGTGTATTTATGAGTACTTATATTTCTATTACAAGATTTTTTTTATGTATCTTAACAGTCAAAATATGCGGAAAATATACTTTTAAATGCTGTTTGTGGTTTTTAACCACAAACCAAATTTATTGAATTACTCTTCGTTGGTGCAATGAAATATTGCCATTGGAAAAATTAGACAGATGATATTTAAGTTTTATTAAAAAACAAATGCCACGTGAGAGAATTGCGAATAATATTTTGTCAATGTTGAGTCATTCCCTGGTCATGCAATTTCTCACTTTTTTTTGTTTTTTTAAAGTCTAAAGCATATGCCAATAAGTCCACAATTCATTCTCGGGTGTTGTATCAGCATCATTTAGCCACATTTATGCTATTTGATAACTGAAAATTTCAAAGAAGAATGTATGTAACAGCAAATTACAAAGGCCATTTACTTGATGGATATCTTATTACATTGTTAACCCTATACAGTATGTTTTATGAATCAATAAAAAAATTCATAATTTTTCACTCAAAATATTTGTTTGACCATGAGAACTATTTTTCTGTGAGTTTAGGAAAACCCTGAACCATGGAACAGTGAAAGAACAAAATTTGCTCGAAACAAAATCTTATTAAATTTTGCTCTTATTCAATACAATTTTTAAAGTTAAATTTGAACTGTGCATTTAGTTTTCAAAATTTTTATCCCTTTTTTTTCTTTTTTTATCACAAAATTTACTTATAAAATATCAAATGGATTTCAAACGGCATATTTATTTCCCATTTTACATTTAACTATACTTTTCCCTCCTTTGATAAAATAATTATATAAATGAAAAGGAAATGAATAAATAAGTAACAGAATAATAAATGGTAAAATAAATAAGAATTTATCTATGAAGTATTAGAAGAAAATAAAAAAAAGACATGTTTTAATTTGCATTATAAATATCAAGCAGTTCTAGATTATGTTTATGTTACTTAAAATAAATAAAATTCTTAGTTTTATTGTAAAGTAGTTAAATAAAATAAAAATATCTTCTTAATATTTTCCTTATTTTAAAATTTCTTTTTATGTAAGAGAGAAATGTTTAGATGCTTATTTTTAGAATAAATAATTAGTAATTATTTCATTTATTAGTTTGTTTCAATAATTTTTCTATATTTATATTTGTAGGAGTTTCTATCATGATGCTATTTCTATATGGTTGGGCATCTATACCTTTCAGTTATATACTGTCATTTTTCTTCAAAACTGGTAACGGTGGCTTTTCAGCTGTTATTGCACTGAATTGCATCATTGGTAAGTATATATTATATATTATTATTTATAATAATATATAATATGCATATTTTATTTATTATTATATATAATAATATATTATTTGCACATTNTTAAATTAATTAATTAATTATTAATTATTATAAATTAATTAATTATAAATTAATTATTTAAAAAATTAATTAATTTAAATATTAAGTATAATTTATAGGATATATACTTTCTTTATAATGTCATTACATATTTCTATTAATATAAAAAGTTTCAGAGCCTTTTATTCACTTTACTTTTTTGGGATTTTATGAACTGAAAAATGACAGTTTTCGTGAGAATGACCCATATATATTATATGTATTATAGATTTTATATATTTAGCATTCTTGGTGGTGTTAAAGAAAATGGCTTCTAGCCAAGTCAATTTAACCCGGAAATGTATAAAATTATTAGAGCCTGATTAATGAGAGTATTAAAATCAAAGAACGTTTAAATCAAAAGAATGCTCATATTTCCAGAATGGATTAAAATGATTCTAAAAAAAATATTTATCTCCCTTCACTTGTTGAAAAAGAAGAATATATAGATCAGCATAGAATTAATTATCTTAAAATCTCTAGTGGTGTATTTTATTTAAATTTTAAAAAAAGCATCAAAAATTATTTGTAAAACTTGCACAGATTTTCTTTTTTTAAATTAAATTAATCGATCAAATATTTTTAACATTACTTTTTTAATTTTATATTTATTGATTGAAAATGAAATTTATCTTATGTTATAATAAAGAAAATTCTTTGAAATTGAAGAAGGGCAAAAACAAAGCAGAGTTATTTACTTAGAAACTAAGACTATGATTTTGAAACAAATAGAAGGTGAAAGATACACAGCCCTTGGTGACTCTACTTGAGACTTTTTTTATGTGGTCCCTATCTATCATGTAAAAAAAAGTACTTTTAGAACTATTTTTATAGCTACTCGTGAAATTTTGTGCAAATTTTTTTTATGGGTTCCCTATCCACCATACAAAAAAAGGCTTGAGTGTGTGTATATATATACTATATACGTGATATTATTCAAGAATCATAAAAATTCGAGTATAACATCAGGTAGAATAGATAAGATACTTCAATCCCTTTTGTACGATTTGTGTAGAGACCCTAGTTTGCAAATCAAATTCAAGCATATTATAATGGAAATCAGACAGCAAAAGAGTGGATAATAATGATTACAAGATAATAATGTGTTAAAATTTCAGTAAAAAATTCCGAAAGGTGAATAAAATAAAGAAAATTCTTTTGACTATTTCAAATATTTGGTTAAAAATAGGATTTTTCATTTATTAAGGATGTTTTGTCCGAAGTAGAACAAGTTTTAAATCTTCTTAAAAAAAATTGCTCAGCAATTTAAAAATTACTTTTCAAGTAGAAGGCAGGAGTTATATATAAATAATTCAAGAGAAATATTAGCATTTTTTTACATTAGGGGTACTATTATTTTAAAGGAAAATAATATTTGTAAGTGGTTAATGAAAAATACTTTTCTAATTTTTGTCATTTCACGTCACTAAAAATATAAAAAAATGATAAATTAAAAAATGCATCAGAATTAGCAAGAGTAGTAATTTTTCACAATGATTAAATCTTTGAAATAAATGTTATTTTAGAAAATGAAATAAGTAGATTTGTTAACTCATTGCGTTTTGAAATGATATATCAATAATATCCTTCAAAAATAACTCCCTTAAAAATCAATTCTAGGTATTGTTATTGGTGCAATATTAATAACTTGGCAGTTTTCTACACGGAATTTTGATGAATCATCTGCTGAATTTTACGTTTGGATTTTTCGATTATTTCCTGCTTTTACAATAGCATCTGGATTTTCAAATTTGTTTGCTATTGCTTATCACAATGCTTATTGTGATGGAATTTCTGCAGAGGATTTGAAAATTAGTTGTGCATCAGAGTTTATGCACCACTGGAAGCCTATGTTTAAGTGCTGCAAAGGTAATGATTTTGAATTATTTATTCTGGTTATTATTCTAAAACTAAAAATTCATAACTATCACTTTAACTTCATGTTAAAGATAAACACACATATAATAAGAATAATGAAATATAGGAATTTTAAAATTACTAGTAATAGTGAGTGGTTTACGTAAAATATTATTATTTAAAAATTAAACATATCTAATTATAAAAATCAATAAATATGAAAATTTTTTAATGTTGAAAAAAACTAGGAATTGAAATAAAACTTCTGTTCATGAATGAATGTATGGGTAAACTAATTTTTTAAATATCACCTTGTAGACTACATCTTTTGCATGACATGCAAATTCCCATAGATAGCTATACGAATTAGTTTTTGTAAATGAAACTAGCTTTGCACAAGTCTGAATTAAACTGATTTTATTGTTTCCTAACATTTAACATAAATGATGTCATGCACAAACTTCATGGCAACAGAGATAATTTTAGAATTAAAAATGTGTTGAAAGGAATTATTGATGCTAAACATTCAAAATTTCTCTAAAAACACAATTATGTACTTCAATATGACCTAATTAATGACGTAAAAATGATGACCAGGGGTCTGTCCAGACCGAATTTACTACCGTTTAGCGGTACCTTCACAAATTTAATTTTAGGAAAAACGGTAGTTTCACAAAATACTTTTTCTTAAAATTTTACTTTTGTATTCTTTAAGAAATGATAAATCCATATTCTTGCCATATTTTTGTGTTGGATTTTTAAATATAATTTTTAATTTTTCACAAATTATGTCTAAATTTTCACAAAATAGGTACCTCTCAGAAAAACCTAGACAGACCCCTGAGATTAGTTTCAGATGTTAACATTTGCNTGATTAATGAGAGTATTAAAATCAAAAGAATGTTTAAATCAAAAGAATGCTCATGTTTCCAGAATGGATTAAAATGATTCTATAAAAAATATTTATCTGCCCTTCACTTGTTGAAAAAGAAGAATATATAGATCAGCATAGAATTAATTATCTTAAAATCTCTAGTGGTGTATTTTATTTAAATTAAAAAAAAAAGCATCAAAAATTATTTGTAAAACTTGCGCAGATTTTCTATTTTTAAATTAAATTAATCGATCAAATATTTTTAACATTACTTTTTTAATTTTATATTTATTGATTGAAAATGAAATTTATCTTATGTTTTTAAAATAATAAAGAAAATTCTTTGAAATTGAAAAAGGGCAAAAACAAAGCTGAGTTATTTACTTAGAAACTAAGACTATGATTTTAAAACAAATAGAAGGTGGAAGATACACAGCACTTGGTGACTACTTGATACTTTTTTTATGTGGTCCCTATCTATCATGTAAAAAAAAGTACTTTTAAAACTATTTTTATAGCTACTCGTGAAATTCTGTGCAAATTTTTTTTAAGGGGTCGCTATCCACCATACAAAAAAGGCTTGAGTGTGTGTATATATACTATATACATGATATTATTCAAGAATCATAAAAATTCGGGTATAACATCAGGTAGAATAGATAAGATACTTCAATCCCTTTTGTACGATTTGTGTAGAGACCCTAGTTTGCAAATCAAATTCAAGCATATTATAATGGAAATCAGACAGCAAAAGAGTGGATAATAATGCTTACTTTTGCAAATGATGATACCAATAATAATGATTACAAGATAATAATGTGTTAAAATTTCAGTAAAAAATTCCGAATGGCAAATAAAAATAAAGAAAATTCTTTTGAATATTTCAAATATTTTGTTAAAAATAGGACATTTTTCATGTATTTAAGATGTTTTGTCCAGATTAAAACAACTTTTAAATTCTTTTTTAAAAAAATTGCTCTGCAATTTTAAAATTACTTTTCAATTAGAAGGCAGGAGTCATATATAAATAATTCAAGGGAAATATTAACCTTTTTTTACAGGATGGGTACTATTATTTTAATGGAAAATAATATTTGTAAATGGTTAATGAAAAATATTTTTCTAATTTTTGTCATATTACGCCACTAAAAATATAAAAAATGATAAATTAAAAAATGCATCAGAATTGGCATGAGTAGTAATTTTTCACAATGATTAAATCTTTGAAATAAATGTTATTTTAGAAAATTATATCTTTAAAAATTTATTGAATGCCTGAGAATATGAAATAAGTAGATTTGTTAACTCATTGCTTTTTGAAATGCTATATCAATAAAATCCTTCAAAAATAACTTTCTTAAAAATCGATTCCAGGTATTGTTATTGGTGCAATATTAATAACTTGGCAGTTTTCTACACGGAATTTCGATGAATCATCTGCTGAATTTTACGTTTGGATTTTTCGATTATTTCCTGCTTTTACAATAGCATCTGGATTTTCAAATTTGTTTGCTATTGCTTATCACAATGCTTATTGTGATGGAATTTCTGAAGAGGATTTGAAAATTAGTTGTGCATCAGAGTTCATGCACCACTGGAAGCCTATGTTTAAGTGCTGCAAAGGTAATGATTTTAAATTATTTATTCTGATTAAAAATTCTTAATAACTCAATTTTTTTAACTGTCACTTTAACTTCATGTTTAATATAAACACACATATATTAAGAAGAATGAAATGTAGGAATTTTAAAGTAACTAGTTATAGTGAGTGGCTTATACAAAATATTATTATTTAAATATTAAACTTATCTAATTATAAAAATCTATAAATATGAAAAATATTTGATGTTGAATAAAACTAGAAATTGAAATAAAACTTATGTTCATGAATGAATGTATGGGTAGACTAATTTTTTAAATATCACCTTGTAGACTTCATCTTTTGTAAGAAATGCTAATTCCCATAGATAGTTATGCAAATTAATTTGCAAATGAAACTCGTTTTGCACAATTCTGAATTAAACTGATGTTATTGTTTCCTAACATTTAACATAAATGATTGCACAAACTACATGGCAACAAAGATAACTTTAAAATTAAAACTGTGCTTAAAGAAACTATTGATACTAAACATTCAAAATTTTTGTGAAAACACATATATATTTCGATATGACCTAAATATGATAACTAAATTACCTAATTAATAGAGGCCAATATAGAGTTACTCAGATATTTTATTACTCTACTATTTCTATTTGCAAAAAAGTAAAAATGTATTAATGCACTTTAGGGTTATAATTTTTTGTTCATGTTTAAAAATATTTTTTTGGCCACAAAAATAAAATATATATGGAATAGTTTATTACTTCTACATGCATTATTTAAGTTTAAAAATTTTTTACTAATATTACCACTTCTGTTCATTGCTAACTGAAAGAAAAAAACAAAACTGGATTAAACTAGAACCTCCTGGTCTTATCCTTTAACTTTACTTAATGGGCTATTGTAGAGTGACATATTGCTATAATTTTTTGAGTTATTTAAATTCTCCCTTTTTAATGCAAACTACATCTCTTTTCTGCCCAGCTTTTTCTTTTACCAACGGAAGAAAATAAATTTTTTCAGTTATTTCACCACATACATATACTTAATATTTTGTACATTGTATAGATTTCCTTTCTTCTCTTATTTTAGATTCTTTACATTAACTACTTAGCAATTTGCATTTTATAGTGAGAAATATATGGGATATTATATCTTTCTACAATTTTTTTTCAGTTTTGGCTCATTAAATATCCTTTTTCTTTTATGTCTTATGAAAATTTAGGGAAAAGTGAAGAACTTCTTTTGATAGAAATATATTTAAAACTTTATAATATGTGTTTATGAATGATTTTAATAAATATTCGTTATTTCAGACCCATACTTATATTTGTTCTGGCAAGATAGTTGTTTCGTTTCTCATTGCACCTCTTGTTGAACAATATATTAACTTATTTAGATTAAATCAAATTGAACATGAATGAATTATGTGAATGGTTAATTTTTGAGAAAGTCCAATTGAAAGATCCATATTTTATATGTAGGGTCGATGTAAGATAATGTGAATGATTGAATGAAGGTTCCATTTATGAATGCAAATGTTTCCTACACACATAGCTGTTACTAGTGAGATTTTAGATGTTTATTAGTTATTTGTAGTGATTGATCGACGATTTTAAAAGTTAGTTATTTGAAAACTTTTGTTGTGATAAATGTCCTAATAATTTCATTTTTAGATTTATTTATTTCTATGTGCATTTATTTTGCTACTTATATCTATATTCATTTTATATAGATATTTGTGGAACTGCATGCTTGAATCAAACATCCCTAATTACTTGGGATGTTCTTGGATGTGGAAGAGACCTTTTTATGTTAACAATGGATGGAATTATATTTTTTGCTGTTCTACTCTTTCTGGAGACAAGCTATAGTGGTTTCCTTTTCCGTTTTATTAAAGATCTGTATTTGAAGTTGAGAAATTCCGTCGTTGGTAACATTGTTCAAAGTAATATTATAGAGGATTCAGATGTTGCATTGGAGGAACAACGAATTCATGATATCTATGCTACACATGGGGATGCTGTCGAAGATGCTTTGATGATTGTAGATTTGACAAAAATATTCCGTAATTTTTATGCTGTTGATCATTTGACATTCGGTGTCCATCAGGAAGAATGCTTTGGGCTTCTAGGTGTTAACGGTGCTGGCAAAACTACTACATTTAGAATGCTAACTGGGGATTGTTTTCCTACTGAAGGAAATGCATTTACTCATCGAAGTTCTTTGAGATCAGATTTAAAAAGAGTAAGTAAATTGTTATGTTAGCTATAGTTATGAACTTGTAAGCATCTGTAAAATTTTTTGAATACTCTTTTGTTATGAGGCTTAATTTCTGAAGCAGATTCTAAATAACCAGTTTAATTAGAAAATTAGCAAGATAGTTACATAATTTAAAGAAAATAACTCCTAATGTTTTATTTTTTATGGAAGACTCGGTTCGGCAATAAGTTTGTTGACATGGTGATATTTGGGCCTCCATTTTGGTGAAAAAATTATAGTAGGAGTTAAGAAGTGATAGGACCACTTTTATGGAGTTGTTAATAGAATCGTCTAGAACCAATTCTGGGGTTTCATCGCCAAGCCTATATAACTAGGATTGTTCTTCATTAGAGTAGTAGTCTGCTTGTGACTGTATCAGTGTTCCGACCTGAGTAAGGCTTTACAATTTCAGATGGGTCAATAATCTGTCTTTTTTTTCACTATGCTGTTATTTGAACTGTAATTGAATGTTGTAAATAGCTGTATCTTCTGAAAGTTCTATTAATACCTTTTTTGGAGTCTTAAAGGCTGTTTCCTTCATTTTCAATGAAAGCAAATCCATGTGCTTGGTACAATATTTAAACTATGAATTAGTTAGCTGATAAGCAACAGTTGATTATTCCGTATATGACGTTGTATCAATTAAATAATTCATTTGATGTTAAGTCTAACTTCAAACTTAATATATTTGCCATATGGGATTGGCATGTTTTTATCAAAGTGAAAATTGTTTATCAGTTTATATAATATTATTAATTTTTCTGCCAAATTATGTATAGAAATTTAATAATTGAGTTGTTATACTCTAAGTTTTTAAAAATTTGAAATACTGAAGAAAAAATAGACAAAAATAAACCTGTAACTTGTTATAAACATTATTGTTGTTTTTAAAATTAGTTTACTATGGCAAAAGTGCTCTTGATCATTTATCTGAAAAATTCAGTTTAACTTTTTAAACCTTGTGATCTTTTATTCAATTTGTCACTGCTAAAACATGGGTTAAAATATTTAGTGAAACCTTTAAGAGAAAAGCCAAATTTCTAAGTATGTAATTTAAAGTCACATATATATGTTTCTGGAAGTCAAATTTCTAAATGCAAATTAAACACCTGCTATTCTGTTTTAATGTTATCATTGCTATAATATATATTAAGGTGTTTTTTTGTTAAACAAATTCTCTATATTTTCCTTCAATTTTAACCTCAATTTGGATATGGTTAATTTTGTGATTTAAGATTTTTTAAAATTTAATTATAGCTGCTTTTGGAATTTATTTATGGCTATTTTTATTTATTTAGTAAAATATTTTAGTCAGTTATTCAAAGATTTTTCTCTGAGGAAAATTTAAAAAGAACAAAGTTTGAATGCCATAAATTTATAATAATATTCAGAATTGGTTTTTAGAAATATAGCTGTATATAAATATTATTTTGCATTAAAGAATTCAATGTTTAAAAATGGGCAAATAATTTTAATAAATTGCTAATTCAATCGCTAATTCTATGAGATTTTTCCGTGGATAAAAATCATTAAATAATTTTATGTGTTTTTTGAATGATGAATAATTTCCTAAGTATTGAAAAAAAATTGTGGATTTACTTTGAATTGAAACCTTGCATTATTTTTCTTATCACAACATGGCAGGTTATTTTTAAACTTGGAACAGTAGTTAACCCAAAGATCTCCCTAAAAATAAAAAAGTGCAGGATGCTTTTTCAAAGAGCAAGGGCACTTTATGTTTTAAAGAGCACTAATCTTGCAAATTATATCAATTATACTTAGCTAGATTAGTGACCTTCAAAGTGGAATTCAAAATACTGAAATAAATATGAGAAATCATTTATTTATACATTAACTCAGCTTAAAAATAATTTGGAGTAGCTATTGTGCAGTGAAGTTTCTGCAACTGCAACCTTTTTTCTTAAAATAAAAATAGAGCATTTTTTTTTCTAAAAAAAGGAGCCGCACAACATTTTTAGGGCACATTTTCCTTTGTGAAAGGGCAGGAAAGGTGAGTCACCCTTCTAAGAATACTTAGGGTGAACACTGCTTAACCTAACCAGTTTCGAAATACTGTTCTGGATTCACAATATTTACAAAAATAGCATATTATTGCTTTATTTCATATCATGAAAGTACCTTCTAAAAAAGTAGCCTTAGTATTTGTCAATGTGGTTTAATTATATTTTAAAATATTAATTTTGTGTATTGGGGAATATTATAAAGTATATGTGGATCATAAATAGAGTTGTTCCTACTTGGATTAATAAGCTGACAGGAATACTTTTTCTAAATAAATGGTCCTTAAAAATGGCTAATCTAATTTTTCTTACTAAATGTTTTTTTAAATTTTTATTTGTATCAAAATTTAAATCTTGATACACGAAATTTTTTTATGTAGTTCCAGTCTTACTTGGGATATTGTCCACAATTTGATGCACTGATTGATCGTTTAACTGGTCGAGAAATTCTTTCACTTTTTGCTCGTTTAAGAGGTATGTCTAGATCAGGACTAGTTTTGAGAGTTAACAAGTTGATTAAAATGATTGATCTTCAAGCTCATGCTGACAAGCAAACACGATTCTACAGGTATTATTTATTTATTTTTTAATTTTTATCTAGGGATGTTTGTATTTAAAAAATTTTAAACAACATGATCAGAATTTCTTCACTTGAATGATTGTGATTTGGAAAAATGTTGGGAGAAGATAAGATAGTGAAATAAAAATATTGAATTTGATAAGTAGTGCAAGAGATATCCGATATTTATATTCTAAAAAAATTATTTATTTAATATAGGTCTGCTCTAGTTGGCCAAGTACACAAATATTATTGATGTTTTAAAATGTAGCTTTTTTAGCGATTTACTTTTTACAAATAACTATAGTTTCTATAACTCAAGTATTTTCTATAACTCATATGCTTTAGCAATATTACTTATGTTTTGCCAGTTTTTATTCTTTCCTCTTTTATTTTAGCAAAAAAAAAAAATATTCCAAGCATTGTTTGATTTTATTCCATACATAATAACTTTGGTTTTTATATATTTCCAGCTTAATTGTTTATTTTAATTTACATATTTAACCAGTTTTAAATTTTGGAAAGTAAGTAGTTAAAAATCTAATTGTGTGCACGCTGTAGTTTCTTTTTCTTAAAATATGCGATTTTTTAAGTTATTTATTTCTAAAATTATTCAGTGCCTGATTTATCTTAACGCTTGACTGGCCCAAATCTGGGGCCTCCACATTTCTGAGGGCCTCCTAAATGTTACAAATAGTTTCTTTTTGTGTTTTTCCTCAAGAATTGTCAATAAGAATTATGAGTAAACAGAAATTGTAATAAATTTAAGATCGAATTTACTAATGCATAGCCCACCACTAATAAAATCACGGGATAATAAAATCAGCTACTTTATAAAATCAAATCGGCAAGAACCGAATCGTTACAATATTATACATGTTAAAAGCATCCTTTAATAAAATCATTGCCGCCGCCTTTTAAAATCAAAATTTTGACTACATAATAATTCAAAAGGGCAATATTTCAGCTTTTTTTATTCTTATTTGTAAAATTTTATTTCTTCGAAGTTTAAAGATTTTTTTAGAAGAAGCAACAGTTACTCACAAACAGGTGTGGTTAGCACTTTCCTGTGATATACATAGTGTAAGAGTTAAGGAAAAATGTGTGTGGTAAGCGGGGAGCTCATAGAAATCAATTTATCAATGTCAATTCCTTGACTTGAATGAAGTTTGGAGAAACCTATCTCACTAAACAGGGGGTCGAATTCTTATCTTACTCTTTATTGAATAAACCATAGAATGGAGAGAAGTTTCTTTTGTTATTTATCTTAACATAGAACATGAATAGATTTCCAAAAACTGTCTGTGGGCATGTTCCATATTATTTAAGCCTTTTGAGTGAATTGTAGTTAGAGTTAGAGCACATATCATTTTTAAGTTTGTTTGGTGTTAAATTTTATCAGCATGCCGAAAAGGAAGGATTTGACGATTTGAGTCTTAAAGATAAATTCGAAGTGTTGCAAAACTATGAAGAAAATTAAATGGACGAGAATTTTTCACGTTACATAGCTATTGACGATAACCTGCAAACATTAGGAGAAAAATCTGATCCTGCAATTGTTAGAGACATCAAAAATTTTAAAGTTATTTCCAATCAAGAAGTGGAGGAATCAGACTCAGAAGATGAAATAAACTCATCAGTCTGAAAAGCATTTAATATATTGCGGCAAGCTTTAGAACAAAGAGGAGGAAATATCAAAAACTTTAAAAACTTCTATAAACTCTCAAATGATGTTGAAAAGTTAATTTTAAATACTGAAACTCAAGCAACCATTGATCGGTTTTTTGCAAAAATTTTGTAAATTTAATCTTATGTAGGGTTTTACTTTATTAAAATAATTAAATTAGTTAAAATAAAGCATTAATGTTGTCATTATTTTAGCTTTTAAAGTGTGTGCATTTAGAATATATCGTAAAAATGTGTTTTTTTTTTCAAATGTGGAATCGCCTCTTAATAAAATCAGCCGCTTAATAAAATCAAAAGAGCATAAAACGAAAGTGATTTTAATAAACGACTGGCACTGTATATCATAATTTACTTATATTATAAATAATTGAAAGGGACTTTAAACCAAATGTACTTATTCTTTATTTATAAAATTATGACCAGGGGGACTCTGACAGTTCCTTGTCTAGGGCTCTCACATTTCTAGATCAGACTTACAGATGAGATAGCTCTAGATTACAAATTGAACAATTGTGCATGCACCATTTGTTACATTATAAGTACTTCTATCAAGGAAATAATTAAGCTTTCTCTCAGTGCTGCAGAATTTTATTAATATTTTTGTGGATATTTTAATATGTTAAAAATGTATTTTGATCATCTGTAACTACCTAGTAATTTATAATTTTGTTTTAGATTATTATACAAAAATTTTGCAAAACGATATGTTTTGCATCAAAAATCCATATGTTGTCTCATCTTTAAAATTTTAAATCAGTAAATTTTATTAATTTCTTTTTGTTATATATGATGGATAAGTTTATAGTTAGATTGGAGGTATGTTAAATAGTACTATTCATAATTATACATTGACAAATATAATAACACATTGATGAATTTTAACAATGTATGCTAAAATTTCATGTTTAACAAACATAATTTTAAACTAGATAAACTTTTTCTTCTTAAAAAAAAATTTTGTTGGTGACGTTCTTTTTTTAAAAATTTAATAGTGGTGGAAATAAACGAAAGCTTTCTGTTGGGATTGCACTCATTGGATCACCACCTTTAATTTTATTAGACGAACCAACAGCAGGAGTGGACCCTGTTTCCCGTAGAAAGATTTGGAACATATTGTCTCAAGCTCGAAATTATTCAAAAGCTGCCATTATTTTAACTTCCCATAGGTAAATAACTAAATGTCTTTTCTCTTTTAATAATTCAATTACTTCTGTTTGTGTATTCCCTTTTTTCTCTCTTGCATGTCTGATGTTAAAGTCATTAAATTAACTTGTGCTTTAAATTGCCTTTCAGATTTTTTTTTACTGAAATTTTAACACATTATTATCATGTAATCATTATTGTTGGTATCATCATTAGTAAAAGTAATCATTATAATCCACTTTTCTGCTGTCTGATTTCATTATAATATGCTCAAATTTGATTTGTCAAACTAGGTTCTATACACAAATCATACAAAAGGGATTGAAGTATCTTATCTATTCTACCTGATGTTATATCTAAATTTTTATGATTCTTGAATAATATGATGTATATATAAATACACACTCGAGCCTTTTTTTTGTGTGGTGGATAGGGACCCCATAAAAAATGTCCACAAAATTTCACGAGTGGCTATAAAAATAGTTTTAAAAGTACTCTTTTTTTACATGATAGATACGAACCACATGTAAAAAGTCTTAAGTAGAGTTACCAAGTGCTGTGGATCTTTCACCTTCTATTCGTTTTAAAATCATAGTCTTAGATTCGTAGGAAATAACTTTCTTCGCTTTGTTTTTGCCCTTTTTCAATCTCAAGGATTATGTCTACAAATAAAATGAAAATCACAAAAATTTATATCTTTTCCTTGTGATCAATGAATTTTTCCTTTGCCATGCAAGAATTCCATCGCAATATGCTACTTGCACATTTCATTTATATACATGGAAACTCTTGTATGCTCAGCAATTAAATTATGCGATTATAGAATTCAATACATCCACCACCCTACAATAATGGAAGAGACACTTCAGTTTTTGACATTTTTTTTAAAATTTCTCGAGAAATACCTAAAGTATTATTTTATAACTTTAGAGATGTTTACTTCATGCGATTTTCCATACATAGTAATAAAATTTAAAGCTTTCAGAGGTTTGAGAGGCCTGCAATAAATTGCAAAAAACAAAAAATAATGAGTATTTTTGACAGAAAATCAAGCAATAAGCTTGCAACTTGCATTGGTTTTTTTAGTTGTTATTTTTAATAACTTCATAAAATTTTATTTTTATTGGAAAGTAATATTTTCGCTTTATTTTTTTTTCATTATATTTTTATAGATATTAAATGGAATTAAACAAAATTTTTAGAGCAATTTAAGATTAATACAAACTTGTCGATTTAAAATTTAATAAATTTCTTTAAAAACTGCACAAGTTATGAGTATTTAAGCTAATATTATTTTGCACATGCTATGAAAAATTTTAAATTTTTTTTAAATAATTTTGTAGTGAATCGTATTTGGCAACTAATAAAAAAATATTTTTTGATTTGAATATCTTAAAAATTTAAAAAGTCTCAAACAACTTTCTGAGTAATTTTTGTATTTTTCAAAAGGAAACTCAAAATAATCAGGGGTTTTTCACGATAATATACCTTAATAACAAATGATAATATACCTTACAATAATCTTCCAGAAACGAAGCTTTGCTATAGAGGAAGAAATTTTTTTTTATGAGGGTGATCCCCCACAATGACGGTCTCATTTTTAATAAATTTTGTTTAATAGTACAAGATGAAGTTTGTGGATAACCCCTTATTGTTTTGAGCTTTCTTTTAAAAAATACAAAAACTATTTAGAAAATTGGTTGAAACTTTTTAGACATTCAAGTAAAGCTTTCATCATTAGTTACCAAATATGATTTCTTACGAAATTATGAAAAAACTTTTCAGAATTTTTTCTCGCTTGCACAGTATAAAGGAACTAGCTTAAATACTCTTATCTTGTGCAGTTTTTAACATTTTTTTTTAAATTTTAAATTAACAATTTTGTAATTAATCTTAAATTTCTCCAATATTTTTTTTTTAATTCCATTAAATATTTATGAAGTTATAGCCAAAAAACATAAGACAAAAAAATTATTTTTTTATAAAAATGTCTATATTTCCAGAAATATTTACTTTAAGGATACAAAACTTTATGCAATTATTAAAAATAACAAATAAAGTAATTGTTAAAAATTTTTTGCTTGATTTTCTGGCCTAGAGTGTTCAGAAATACTTGTATTGTAGGTGTTCCAAAACTCTGAAAGCTTTAAATCTTATTACTAAGTATGAAAAATTGCATGAACTAAACACCTCTAAAGTCACAAAATAATCCTTAAAGTATTTCTTGAGAAATTTAAAAAAAAATGTCAAAAACTGAAAGTGTTTCTTCCACTATTGTAGTGTAGTGTATGTAATGTATAGTGTAATTGGCTGATGCAATACTAATGTATAGTGATGAAATACATATCAATAAAACTAAATGGCCAATAAAACCTACTGCTAATTTTTTTTTTTTTTAAATAACTTCTTCAATTATGTTCCAATTTGATTAAAATCTTCATATACTACATAAGAAGTAGTACAAAAAAAAAGATTGAACAAAAACAGGTTCAACTCTCTCTTTCTCTCTGTATTAAAACTGAACTTTTCTTCTTATGAAATTTTATAATGAGGAACTGGGGGCGGGTCATAAACTTGAAATCAAATTTTGTATAATGGTGATAATTTGTTTCAAACATTTGATTTTTTTTTCTGTCAGTTTATATAAAATTATTCAGCTTATTTAAAATTATTGATTCAATTTGCAATTTAATATGCTCAGAAATGTATTATATATAAAATTTTCAAATATTTTAATAGCCAAAGCTAACATTGTATGTTAAATTTTCTATTGTTCCATGATGTTCTTTTTGAAGATACATTTATAATTAAAACAAATAAATATCTCTTATACATGCGCAATTTTATTAATGCCTATTATTTTCTGTAAATATATATTTTTTATTAATGTATGCTTTGGTAAATATCTAATAAGTAAATTTCCATTCCAGTATGGAAGAGAGTGAAGCCTTGTGTAATCGTTTAGCAATTATGGTAAATGGTCGTCTCAGATGCTTAGGTCCAATTCAACATCTTAAAACTAAATATGGTAAAGGGTATACGTTGGTTATTAAACTTGGAAAGGGAATTGTGGATGACTACACAACTGTTAAAGAAATAAAGGAGTATATTGAAACAAATTTAGATGGTGCTGATTTGAAAGATGATCATCAAGTAAGTACATATTTAAATGTGTATACATTTATTTTTTTAATTATAATTTTTATAAAATGATTAATAATCTAATCACTACAAAAAAATTTTTAAAAGTAGCAATGTTATATTTACAAATTTGCTTCAAAAGTAATTCTTCACATCTGTTACTTTTGATTATCATCTTTCCATTTTAATAACTGTTATTACTCTTTAAAAGTAGAGATGGTAAAAATATATAGTTGATGCAGTGAGCTGCCGTTGAGTTATAGAGGAATTAGATTCCCATGGGCTGTTTGAAGTCTATCATATGTATATTAGCTAGTTTGAAATGCCGACTACCTTACAACCATCAAGCTGTCATAACAAATTTTTGTTGCCTTAACCTTTATGACCCTTATACGGAAGAGTTTTATTTTCTGTAAATTATTCTTTAATGTAATGGTGTGCGACCTGCTGACTGTTGATGTTTAGTCTGCAAAAGTTACATTGTAGTCAGCAATAGCTGCATTGTTAAAGAAAAAAAAAACACTGATATTTTTAGTATGGTATACACAAGTTTCAAATTTCAGTAGTCACTTTTTGACTAGCTATTTTTGCCAATTTCATCATAAATTTAAGTGACGTTTCTGTCATGTTTTTATGGCATTTAAAACTTCTAATTTCCATGTGGTTTGTAAAAAAACCCCTGATACATTTATTACGACTTGTGAGGTATAAATCTCACATTTAATTTATCACTTTTTGGCATGCTTTATTTGTGCCGGTTTTATTGCAAATTTAAATGATTTTCTGAACTTTTTTTAAAGGCAGTTATTGCTATGATTTTCCAAGTGATTTTGGAAATCCCACATTTTTACTATGTTATTATTACTACTCGCGAGTTTAAAATTTCAAATTTTTTAATAATCACTTTTGAACGTGCTTTTTTTTTTTTTTGCTTTAATCATAATTCCAAGTTATTTTTCAATCTTTTTTGATAATTTTTGCAATGTATTCACAGGTGGTTTTAAAAATTCTGATTTTTACCAGAACATGCAGATTTTAAATCATGCATTTAAATAATGATTTACTGATGCGCTTTATTCATGCCAATTTCATTGGAAATTTAAGCATGTTTTGTGCAATTATTGTTATCTTTTCCGAGGGATTTTAACGATCTCGTTACTTCAGCTACAATGTTTTTATGACCCACGAGTTTCTAATTGCGCATTTAAAATATCACTTTTCGATGCAATTTATCTATGCATATTTCATTGCAAATATAAGTTATTTTTACATTGTTCAATCAGCAGTTAACGCAATGCCCCAATATGTGGGGTTTAGAATCCTGATATTGCAACATGAAAAATTCGAAAGGAGGAACACGAATTTTTAAACTTTTCACTGTTTGTAATTTTGTTTTAAATTTTTTGTAACCTTATTTAATTTTTTCAGGAAAGAAAAAAAACTTTCCTATTTTAAAATTCATGAAACCTCTAATAATTCAAGAAATAGGAATAATATATGAAGTATAATACAAAATAAATATTGTATCTTATTTCGTACTACAATGATTTGGTTTTAATTTTCGGTTTTTATTTGAACCTTATAAATTTTCTTCAATTAAAATATTTAATTTAAATTTATATTACTCATTAAAATATGCTTTTTTTAAACTTTTTTCTTCTTCAAACATTAAAGATTTCTTTTTATTAGAATTCTTATTGATGTATATTAAATAAACTTGGAGATATTTTTAAAAAAAAGTATCAGTTTTTTATTTTTAATGAATTCTAATAATTAAAGGTACTTAATTTTCTGCCAATAAGTTACTAAGTTTATTGGTAAAAAATTTAGGGCTTAGAAGAGAGAGTAGAGGTTTATATGAAAATTATCATAAATGCCACTAACATGATTAAATATGCCTGCAGTTCTTTGTTTGTCAACCTGCTGTGCAAGTGGTCTTTCACTCAAAAAGGTTGTGCAGCCCTACTTTAATACATACAATATAGGATTGGCACCATGGCAAAACTAAGAAACTGCGACTTTTGCAATCTGTAGATTAGTTGTTTTTGACTTGGTGTTGATATATCATTTTATTTTATAACCATCGTTGAACAGCCCACCCAAGTTAGGGTTTACGACTAATGTTCAACTCCATAACCTTGCAATTTTGAACCCAATCCTGACTACAGGGGAAATCCTGGATTAAATATTCAGAGAAATTTGCCTTCATGGAGGACTTTTTTGATGGAACTACCCCTATTTGCTTTTAAATTAGAAGAAAACCACGAAAATATCCCATGGAAAGCTTGACGGCAAGGGTATTCTACCACTGAGGATATTTTACATCAGCACTGTGGTCACTGCAAGCCGGATGTGGAATTAGAATAGACAATCCATCGCTGGGATCACCTCATTGGAAGGTGAACGCTCTATCCCCTGTGCCATCATGACTCTGGATCAAGTTTTGGGAGAAATTTGCCTTTGTGGAAGATTTTTTAATGCAACCAACCCTCATTAGCTTTATGGGAGAGGAAAACCTCCTGTAGTTATCCTGACAGTAAAATGACTCTATGTGTTTTCACTACAGAGCGAGAACGCGAGAATCTCGCATATTTTCTTCTTTTTTCACATTAAAAAATGATTACCGCGAGAAATTCGCGCATTCTATAAATCAATTTAAAAATTCGCTAATTTCTCGCATCTTGGAGAAAGTTTCAAATTACGCCATTTAGAATAAAATCGGTTTCACTTGTCTTCCTGGATCATTATTAAATACATCCATTATTTTCAACATCTGCCCCATTATCTAGCTTCCCTATTTACCAGTATTGTTCAGAACCTTTTCGAACAACAGAGCACAACCACGTAACCCCTTTCAGAACACATTTCTCGGTTTACCGTAGGTAAGGTTTCTTCATGTAAGACGTTCAAATTTTTTATGCACTTATGTAAGATGGACAAATACCTTGTAAAGGCAAAATCTTCTATGATGATGCACCAAAAATATTCAATGCTTTAAAAAATAGAAGACGTTAAAAATGTATTATAATTAAAGAAATGATTTTTTTTCAAGAGCTTGTGTTTTTTTAATTTTTAGAAATCTCACTCTGATTTTGAGAAAGGGTGAGAATTTCTCACCCATTTTTTTTCTATGATGAAAACACTGCTCTAACCTATGATCCCTCTACCACTGAGGATATTTTTACGTCAGCACTGTAGTCGTTTCGAACTTGAGTGACCTCTTCGGGAGGCGAGTGCTCTATCCTGAATACCTGAGCCATCATGATATTCAATGTGCAGTCAAAAAATAAAAAGGAACCACCCTGAATAACTTTTCATCTAATAATCAGATCTTCACATTCTAGGATTCAATCTTGATAGTTGGAGGGGGTGACCTCAAATATGCTAATTATTTAGTGCAGACGATATTTTAAGTTATGAAATCAGATACAAAAATGTACTTTCCTTGAATGAAAATACTTTTTGATGGATTCGGATTTTTGATCCTCAAAATATTAATATTAGCTAATTAGTTTGGCCTCAATCCGGAAAATGTGGTTCCCATAGTTTGGTCCAGAGAGCAGTCCAAAATTTAGACCCTTTAATGTTAATTTTTTTTTGCGTATTTCATCATATCTCCACAACTTTTAAAGCAAATTGAAGCATTTTTGCAATTAAAAATATGGCTTCTTTAAAATTTGATTTTTCAGGAACTATTCAATCGATTTTGTTCTAATTTTCTATTTTGCCATTATATTGCAATTATATTCTCTAAAATGAAGTAAAAAATTTTGTACCTTACAATCCAAAATTTTTTCAACTATTTTTAAATAAAATAATAATGACCAGTAAATATTTACTAAAAGTTATATTTTGCATAGAATTATCTTTCAAAAAATGAATTTTATAATTGTGTGTAAAAGTTCTTAAATTTGCTTTAAAAATTCTCGAGATATGACGAAATAAGCAAAAAGTAAATTTATCATTGAGGGAACCAAACTTTGGATAGCTCTCCTGGTCAAACTTTGGGGACCATATTTTACCACCTATATTTTGGGGGTCAGAAATCTGAATCCGGTGAAAAAAAAGTATTTTTAATCAGAAATAGTAAGTTTTTGTGTTTGATTTCGTAATTTAAATTATCATCTGTATTAGGGTCATTCTCACTGAGAAGGTATAAATAGACTAAAAAAATTTCTTAAATTAAAGTAATTAAAAAAGTGATAAAAATTACATAAATGCCTTTATTTATTTTTGTTATATGTCCTTATAATAATGGTCAAGTTTTCTATTTTATTTTTTACAAGATTTAAAATATTTTAAATTCTGCCTTGTCCACGGAGGAGCTGTAATAGTCAACGGAGGAGACATTTTATGTTATAAAATATAAAATGTCAATGAAGACTAATTCATTACTTATTGGGCACAACTGATATGAGTTTAACATTAATAAGTAAATAATAAAATATTTCATTATTAGAGATAGAGCTACCTCTGATTAATCATGCTGCTACGAAAGGAAACATCCATTTTTAACCTAGGTGTCAATTTCTTAAGTAACTCTTACTGAATATTAATAAATTAAATTGTAAATACTATTGAAATAAAAATTCAAACTCCACATGAAAGTTGAGTGTTGAGGGTATTCTTTTGTGACCATTTTATGCAAGTTAAACATACTGTCATCCAAATAACGTTTTTGTTTTTTCTCTTTTCTTCTTGTTATTGTTTCTTTTTTCCCTGGGCGCAAACGGCTAGCTCTATCAATTTCTAGAAATTTAAGTACATTTAATAACGATTTTTCTGTTAAATCTNCAACCTGCTGTGCAAGTGATCTTTCACTCAAAATGGTTGTGCATCCCTACTTTAATACATACAATATAGCATTGACACCATGACAAAACTAAGAAGCTGCGACTTTTGGAATCTGTAGATTAATTGTTTTTGACTTGGTGTTGATAATATATCATTTTATTTTATAACCATCGTTGAACAGCCAACCCAATTTAGGGTTTACGACTAATGTTCAACTCCGTAACCTTGCAATTTTGAACCCAGTCCAGACAACAAGGGAATTCCTGGATTAAGTATTGAGAGAAATTTGCCTTCGTGGAGGACTTTTTTGATGGAACTAACCCCCATTTGCTTTTAAATTAAAAGAAAACCACGAAAATATCCCATGGAAATCTTGACGGCAAGGGTATTCTACCGTCTACCACTGAGGATATTTTACATCAGCACTGTGGTTATTGCAAGCCGGATGTGGAATTATAATAGACTATCCATCTCTGGGATTCGAAACCGGTTCACCTCATTGGAAGGTGAAAGCTCTATCCCCTGTGCCATCATGACTCTGGATCAAGTTTTGGGAGAAATTTGCCTTTATGGAAGACTTTTTAATGCAAGCAACTACCATTTTCCTTTATTGGAGAGGAAAACCTCCTGCAGTTATCCTGACGGTAAAATGACTCTAACCCTTGATCCCTCTACCACTGAGGATATTTTTACGTCAGCACTGAAGTTGTTTCCAACTTGAGTGACCTCTTCGAGAGGCGAGTGCTCTATCCTGAATACCTGAGCCATCATGGTATTCAATGTACAGTCAGAAAATAAAGAAGAAACCTCCTTGAATAACTTTTGATGTAATAATCAGATGGATTCATTCTTGATAGTTGGAGGGGGTAACCTCAAATATGCTAATTATTTAGTGCAGAGGATATTTTAAGTTATGAAATCAGATGCAAAAATGTACTTTCCCTGAATAAAAATACTTTTTGATGGATTTGAATTTTTGATCCTCAAAATATGAATATTAGCTAATTAGTTTGGCCTCAATCCGGAAAATATTGTTCCGATAGTTTGGTACAGTGAGCGGTCCAAAATTTAGACCCCTTAATGTAAATTTTTTTTTGCGTATTTCACCATATCTCCACAATTTTTAAAGCAAATTGAAACATTTTTGCAATTAAAAAAACGGCTTTTTTGAAATTTGATATCTCAGGAACTATTCAACCGATTTTATTCTAATTTTCTATTTTGCCTTATATTGCGATTACAATCTTTAAAATGATGTAAAAAATTTTGTACATTACAATCCAAAATTTTTTCGACTATTTTTAAATAAAATAATAAAGACCAGTAAATATTTACTAAAAGTTATATTTTGCATGGAATTATCTTTCGAAAAAGGAATTTTACATTTGTGTGCAAAAATTTTTAAATTGTGTGCAAAAATTTTTAAAACTTCTCGAGATCTGACGAAATAAGCAAAAAGTAGAATTATCATTGAGGTGTCCAAACTTTGGATCGCTCTCCTGATCAAACTTTGGGCACCATATTTTTCAGATTACGGCTGCAAATTTGGGGGTCAGAAATCTGAATCCAGTGAAAAAAAGTATTTTTAATCAGAGAAAGTACGTTTTTGTGTTTGATCTTGTAATTTAAATTATCATCTGTACATTACCCCCTTGAACCATTAAGATTGAGTCCTAGAATATGAAAATCTGATCATTAGATCAAAAGTTATTTAGGGTGTTCCATTTTTTATTTTGTGCACTGTATATCAATCAAATAATGATCAGGTATGTAAAATGGGAAATAGGTTGTCAGAGCTCTAAATTTAAATTCATAACATAGCCAGTTCCTTACACTTTGTGTTAGTATTTTAAAAAGGCAAAAAGCATGTTAAAGTATAATAGCAGGTCTCAAAAGTTCGAGGACATATCAATTTAAAATAATCAATTTTATGCAAAGATCCTGCTTGTTAATTCTTAAATAAATCAATTATTTAAAACTACTATTTGTTTTTAAAAAAAGTGTTTCCTCACTATAATTTATTCTATTATAGGGTATGCTTCAATACCATGTGGTAGATCCTTCGGTAACGCTAAGCAAATTGTTTAAACTGATGGGTGAAATGAAACCAAAATTCAATTTGGAGGATTACATGATAAGTGACACTTCCTTAGAGCAAATATTCTTAACATTTGCTCGAGCCCAAAGAATTTCCTAATATGGATACAGCCAGAAAAAATCCTTTACTGCCTAGCAGAGATTTTTATTTTTCATTGATTGTTTTATTTGATGTTTTATTGTTAATTATATGTACTTAAAATGTGTTTTACTCTATTTTTGTTCTATTTTGTTTTTTAATAATATTTCTCATTTTAAGACATTCACTTTTCGAAATATTATGAAGCATATATTTATTGTAGATTTTTATGTCTATAGTTCTTTTTTTTTTCTTTCAATTTTTCATTAAGTGTTATATTATTCTTACTTGAAGTAGTTTGATAGTTATCCTTGATACTTTTACCACCTAATATTTAATGTGTGTTTCAATTTTCTGGTAGCTATCAATCATTTGAATATGTAAGTGTTCAGTATTTGTTGTACCTAAAGTTTTAAATAATTTAATGTTTTACTTTATTTTGAAATGACTACTTTATTATGAATTTCAAATTCATTGTAGATTTTTACTAATGTCAAAAGTAAAGTTTTTTATTCAATTTTAAATTATTAAACAATTGTATTGTTCTAATATTTTGGTAACTATTAACATTAAGTATGAGTAGTACTTAAACCTTTAAATGATTTAATAATTTTTTTTATTTGAAATATTATGAAACATAAACTCATTGTAGATTTTTATAATCTCAAATGTTCAAATTGTTTTCTATTTTAAATTATTAAGCATTATATAATTTTTATTTGAAGAAGTTTGATTATAATTTGTACGGTTTTTACTACCTAATAGTTTTTCAATATTTCAGTAGCTATTGATGGTATAGTACAGGGATGGCGAACCAATGGCACGCGTGCCATTTATGGCACCCTACACAATAATTTGGGCACGTCACCGATCACATTTGTTATTACACTATAAATTGTTATTACTCAAATGCTATTACACTATGAAACATATGTAACAATTAAATTAAAATTCACAAAAACACGCTAAATAATAAACAATTATTAATGAAAAAAATTAACAATTAATGCTAAAAAAAGCAATTAATAACAATAAAAAACAGGCTAACGGTAAATAACTAACAAAAAAAATAAACAGCCTGCTTAAACTAACTTCTTACAACCTAATATAAGTTATTTGTCATCTAATCTGCAGCAACAGAAGTCACACTGATGTTACTTTAAGTTGAAATACGCGTATAACTGAGACATTGCAAAATATTATTTTTTCAATGTAATTAAAGAGTTTTGAGTTGATAGTATTTAGTATTATTATTTTCCCAATAATCACGAAGGCAAAATTATTTGACGGCACGTCTATGACCCCATTAAACAATTTTTTGGAAAAAATGGCACGTTGGTGTATAAAGGTTCGCCACCCCTGGTATAGTATATAAGTGTTAAGTATGAGTTGTACTTAAACCCATGAATAATTTAATGATCTCTTTCTTTTTATTTACATTTTGGAAATATTTCATTTTCAGTATTTGTTCATTAGTTTTTTTATTTGTTTCTGATTTTGTCTATGTTTATTTTCTTTTTGATTTTTCTTTAAGCTTAATAAATTCTTATCTTTGATTTCCTTTATTCACATAGCTAGGAGATAATTTTAAAAGTGTATGAATAATTCAATTAAAAGATTACTTGTGATGTCAAAATTTAGAACTATTTTTTTGACTCTTCGTTTTATTAAGCTTTGTAGATCTGAGGCATTATGAAATCTTTAGTATGATCTTATATCCTTAAACATTTAATTCATAATTTGGTTCAATTAGATATAGTTAGACCAAATACGTTGATTTTCGCAGAAAACTCAAAAAGTTTATTTAAACATTAGTCTCAAGGACCTGTGTTTTGAGTTTAGTCACTTAATTTTTATTTTATTGAAATTGCACAACTATTATTATAAAATGAAGATTCAAATTTTCTTTACCAATTTGAATATCGTAAGTTTCTAAATCACAGTTATATTGGAATTAATTTGCTTTAAAAATTTGACTATTTTGATCATAAATTTTATTTATTGCTTTTTTTCTGATTTATATCTTTTATACGCGATAATTATATATTGTAATAAAATATAAGGAATATCTTGTGCAAAATATGATATCTTATGTTTTACCATGTACTAATTTTATTATAATTCATTATTGAGACTTTTCTTGAATACTTATATTGATATAGAGAGTGTTTTTTCTTCCTTCTATATTCAGATGAATTTTTTTAAACCTATTTACTGACTGCTTTTTAGTTTCTGAGCTCTATATTTTACTTATGCACTTATTACACCCTATTTAAGTCATTGGTTTGTAAATTACACTCAATGTTTTGTGAATCACATGTATGTATTTTTTATTGTTTATGTCTTTGAAACTCTTTGATCTGAGAGAAAATTTAAACGCGGAGGAATTAAAAAAAAAAGGTGCTAATGAGTTTTTTTAAATGATTTTATTGAACTCTGGACTAGAGGAGCATAACCTTTTTGTATGAAGGGTCCTTTGTAGGTTAACCAATAAAGGGGTGCATGTCCAAGTATTTAGACATGTTGACTGCAGTTATGATAATTTTAATATAAACAGCAGTATTTTAGACATAATTCTTTAAATCAATCAACTTAGTACTATATTTCCAAAATATCAAATTTTTTTAAAAATTTTAAATTAAGTTTTCATTAGTATAAAATCAAATTCTTTTTATTTAAAAAATTAAATTCTTTAAATATTAAAATTAATTTAAATCTGAAGAAATGTTATTGATTAACATGTTATTAGTTACATGTTATTGATTAATTCATGGGAATAAATTAATCAGGAAGTTTATTTCCATTTAGTACAAGATTATTTTTATATACTTTGTACTAAACAACCATTGTTAATTGTGTTTTATAATTAAAGTAAAACGAATTAAACAACTATTAAAAAAGAGATTTAGAAATTTCAGATTAGAGGACATGATTTTGTACAAACTGTTTTATACATCAACAGGATACGTTCTATTAAACCGAAGCTTGTTAGCAACATACGAAAAACGACTTAAAACACTTTGTGTTCTGGGTCCTGCTTTTAAAGAGAGATGTTGATAGGATTGTTGCTCTTCAGTATTTTATACTTATGTCAGAATCAGTTAAAATTGAAGCAGTTTGTCAATAAAAAAATTAACCAATGATCCTTTTATAATATATTGATGATTAATTATAAGATGATAATTTACATTAATATTTGCTGTTTATATTCAAGTTAACCCAGTTTTATCCTTTTAATCCTCTTTTTCATTTTTGTTCAAGGCTAGATTATTTTATTTTCTATTCTTATTGTCTTGTCAAAATATTAGGCTTAGAATTCAGAATAATTTGTGTATTCTATGTTTGCATTCTAAAATTGATATTTTCTTCTATTGATAATCCTTTATATTCTGATGATATAATATTAAATTCATTATTTTGTTCCTAATGATATGCTGTTATTATTTTTACAATTTTAAATTTGGAATAAAAAATTATTATTCTTGTATTAAGCTTTGTTACCTGGCAGTAAGAAAAAACTGCTAGATTGCAAAAATTTATGTTGGAGAATGATAATTGTTGTGCTAGTTGATGATCTGTTTTATTAATAAGGTTGCTACAATTATTTATCTATTAACTCTTTTTACCTAGTATTAACTTTTCCGCTTTAATTCTTGCCTATTTATTAGATATAGTGCAAAGTTGGTGTTACTAGTTCTAATATATTCATGTTATCTGTAATTGGTATGAGTATTGGAGTCTGTTACCCCCATCCTTTTAGAATTTTATTTGCCCTTGCCCTTTTTCTACATATATATTTTATTTTTTGCCTTGCCTTTTTTATATTGTTGTTCTCTTTAGAATCTCTTGTTGCATTTATTTTCACCACAACTATTAGTCGCAATGGCTTATTGCTTATGACACTAAGCTACTAATATTTAGAATCTGAGTTCTATTTTCAGTAGCCGCTGGTAGTGCTGCCAACTTCAGATTGATAGGTACCAAATGGTCTGAAAAGTATAAGCGGCTGATGCGCAGTGTCAATCACATTGTTGCGAGAGTGTTTTACTTCACTTTCTCTTCATGTTGCCTTTCAAATACAACTACTATAATGCTATTTTTAATGCATTTGTCTACTATTGCTGCGCTATTTATAAATTTTTTTATATTGAAATTTAAAATAGTTTTTACAAGCAACTATTTAGATTTTTTTTAAGTAAAAAGCATTAGCTAGATATATTGTTGTTTGAAATTATTAAATGTTCTAAAAACTATTGTATAATAATAATAATGTTGTACTTAAGAAGAAACTTGGAGTACTATGAATCAGATTAAGAGTTATAAACATGTATAACATCATGTTAAGAGCTATTGTAAAAATATGTATATATTATCCTCATTAGATATTCATGTTTGTGTGCGAAATTGCTTGTATCTAAAAAAATTTAAACTTTCAAAAATTTTCTATTTTATTTATATGAAATCTGAAGTTTTATGATGTGCACAATCATTAGTTTAGCTCAAGCTGTTAAAAGAGTACAAAATATTTGGAAAAAAAATGTGTATTTTATACTAAAATAATAGTTATAACATATTGTTATTTTTTTTATTGCTTTTGATGTCCATGTATTTTCTTACACACATATATAAACTGCGCTGTTTGTATTATATTTTGTCCTGATGATTCCTGCCAAATAAATCAACCAAAGTATGAGAGATTTTTTATCACTCAGATTAATAAGAATTACTATAATTACTGATACATTTGAGAACTAAGTCTTTTTTTTTAGTTTCATGAAATTTATGAAATCACTTTTTAACTATTTACATAATAAGACTATATTGGATCGTGATAACATGCCGATTAAATAAAGTAAATAAAATTACTCGTCGATCTGAGAATCATCATCTTGTTTTGGCTTTGAAACAATCTGACCTCTTTCCCATTTCTTTTATGAATTGAAAAAGAAGTTAGTATTTTTCGTTTATTTTTCACTTCAGTTTTCTTAGTATTCGATTTACTATCTTGCACTGTTAAAAAAAATTTAAGTCGCCTTGGTAAAAAATTGTATTTTAAAATACAAATTTTGGTATCTATTTAATAATTCTGACAGTTTTTTAACGTTTTTCTCATATAATAACTAAATAAAAGATGTCATTTTGGTAAAAATTGACATCTTTTGCTTTGGTAAAAAATTGTATTTTAAAATACAAATTTTGGAATCTATTTAATAATTCTGACAGTTTTTTAACGTTTTTCTCATATAATAACTAAATAAAAGATGTCATTTTAATTTTATTTCTGTAATTAAAATTTTATGGATTTTTTGAAATCTTCATTATTGTTATTTTAGCTGTGGAAAATTTTATTATAGAAAAAATGTAAAAAAAAGACTCTCTCAAACTTGACAATCTGACTAGTATTTTATTATCAAGCAAACGCTTCATTGCCTTAATTGTGCTCATGTACGTATTTATAGTTTTGGTACTGTGTGTATTCTACACATTATTAAATGTTAAGTTTACTGTGATATGTTCTATTTTTTTTATACATGAGTTGCTTTTTGGGGGAAAATGCTTGTAAATCGAATAAAGTTATTTTAAAAGCAAATATTCTAGTACTTAATTTTTGTGTATCACCAACAACACTCATTATATTATATGATTTTTTGTAAGAGAGTTTACATTGTTTTTGCTAGCACTTTTTTAGCAAATAACCTAGTACTTAATTTTTATGTATCACCAACACTCATTATATTACACAATTTTTTGTAAGAGAGTTAACATTGTTTTTGCTAGTAATTTTTGCTTATAAAATTACTATTATGCACACGTTCTATTTAAGTCAGAAATTGCAAAAATAGTGTTATAAATTGAAACTGTGTATTCTCTACTTTAAGTTTATAATAATATGAACGCAAATTGCTAAACCAGTTATTATAGTTTAAAAACTTTCATGTGTTTGAATTTAAATTTTTTTTTTTGATCCTAGAACTCTTAAAATAAAAATAATTTTGG